AGCCACTGTGTGCCAGTCCTGGTGCTCCATGGAAATCAGATACCACTGCCAGATCACTCAAAATCAAAGTCTCGCTTGGCTCCCATTTTGAAGAGGACAGTTTAGGCTAGTTACTCACAAAAAAACCCAATCTATTGCTACTTTATCGCTTAGAGTTACTAAACGGTTTTCTAGAGATCTCCTAGAAAACCGGTCACTGAGAAGTATAGTAGTAGTGAGAAATGAACATAGACGGAGAGGTTGTCATTTTTGGTGGCTCAGTAAAAACTGACTTCTCTTTAACAGCTGTCAATACTTGTTCTATTACAGAAGAAGCTTCCAGAAATGCACGTCTTGTGCCAAGGCCAACATAGTTAGGGTCATTCTCATCGTTTTCTTCATCAATTATGATATTTGCCTTCTCTATTGTTATTTGGGACGCAGAAAACCCGGGCCTCGATCGACGATTCTAATGTATTCGCATTACTTAGAGTATCATCGAATGTATTTTCAGTTGTGGTAGGAATCGACGATGGTAGATTAAGTTTATTTTTAGCCATTATAGGTACGAAGTGATTGGGACGCCAGTCATGATCTGAATAACTGTTCAGCCCTGACCATAATATGCGTATTGGGGTTTGTGAACCAGCAGTTACTTCTTCTCTTGGGAAAAAAGCAGTATTCAGTACGTCAAAGTATGCATCAATGTCATTCACTTTCGGGTAAATTGATGCGACTGGACGACGCAGAACATTCGCCAGGGCTACCAGAGTAATGACGCCAGTATATTGGTTCTCATTCGAAATTCCTATGACATGATCTCTTACACATTCATCGTCGACTAAATCAAACCCATTAGTCATTCTTAATGTATCGTAATGCTACTCATGGGTACATAATTCAATTAAACACCGACAACGAACTTCGTCGATACTCATGGTTGGATAAAAAGCCTGGATTGTGTGAAAAAAACAATCACCATCACCAGCAACTGTCAATGGAACTGCATCTCGACTTAGTAAATCCGTATAGTGATCCATTAGATATTTTGCCTGTTCGTCCACAAACTGCACGTTGTCATTAAAGATCAGTGTTGTTTGATTATGTATGGGATGAAAGTTGATCGCAACATCAAGATCGAAGCATTTTGCCTTTAGATTCTCATAATCTTCGCATTCGTCTTTAATTCTTGTTAAAAGTAATAGATGGAAATCTTTGCGAGTTTCACTTTTACAATCATAGCATAGTATTGAATTGGAACGAAAATCGCAAAGAACACATTTTTGTTAGGTTCTTGCATGACCCCCGAATATGGTCACTTAAATTAATTGCTGAACGCAATGTGGTAATAAACAAATACTTTTCATTTATTCCCAAACCACAATCTGCAACAACTGCTTTCAATGTTCCGCAACAAGCTGGAAAGAAGCTAGGTCAAAACAGAAGCCGAACTTCTTCAGCAAAAAATCGAAAAAAATGAAATAAAAATAGAAGTTCGTGTTTCGATATTCCTAAAGCTGAATTCTTTTTCATTCGAAAATTTTCACTATGTACTGAAAGTAGTAGGAGCGGCAGAAATAGTCTGCTTCTTACGTTTTTCGGTGAGATCTTTCCAAAAAACTGCTGTTCGTAGATTTTCTGGCTTTCTTTCTTGGTGTTCGTAGATGATTTTGTATGTTGTATGTCACTTGAAAAATGTTCGTTAATTTTTCAACTGATGGCTTCAATAAAGTACCGCAAGCTTGGGATCAATATTGATGGAAATCGGTATCTCTTCTCATTGGTTAGGTGTTCGTAGATTTTTTAGTATGCTTTTTCGGTGTTCGCAGGTCTGTGATAGGTGTTCGTATACAAATTTCGACTTGTGTCCTTCTGATCTATTTAGGACCCATTCAAAGTGGGTGTAAATCGTGAATGTAACTCTGTGAGTTCTACACGCCTGTATAATCAGATTCGAGCTATCCCTACCTTCGAGGTGTTCGTGGGTGTTCGCGTAGTTTACTAATACCCAAATTTTACTGAATCTGAGCAAAGACAATAATGCACAAAGATTTTTTTTCATGTCTGAGAGTTACTCTTGTTTTTTTGATAAGTGTTCAAGATTCTTTGTGCATGCACAACTTTGTGGTTTTTGTTGTCCATCTTCATAAAACTGTCCATTTTCTAATTCATTGGTAGGAGCATTGACCGGGAAGAGGATGGAATCTGCACCAAGTTCAGCTGATCGTGCTCCAGGTGCATGATCAATTATGTCAGTTTTACATAAACCAGGAGTTACAGATAAGACTAACACATTTTGGGCACCCGACCATTCACGTGCTTCTACTCGTGTAAGAGCAATGAGCGCGGCTTTGGATGTACCGTAGATCAAATAAGGTAACTTGGAATTGTATCCGAGTTTTTCGAGACGATTCGATCCAATCGCTGAAATAAAATCTTCAACAAGTGTATCGAGCTGTTCTTTGGTCAACGTTGATGATTGGTATTTCTTTTGGAGATCGCTGGACATTTCATATAATGCCCAAGCACCGACTTCGCTTGCGACATTCACAATGCGTCCATTTTCCTTGATCAGTGGAGACAGATGTTCATTCAACGTTCTAATACCATAGTAATTAGTGGCAAAAACATTTCGAGCAGCATCAACAGTCTTTTCATGTGTCAGAATTCCAGCATTGTTGATGAGAACATCTAGTTGGCCCCCATATTTTTGTTTGATTTCATTGGTGGCTTGAGCAATACTATTGCGTGATGATGTATCTAACTGAAGGAGATGTACATTCGATGGTGAACCCAACAGCTTAATTGCACCTTGGCCACGTTTCAAATCACGACTACCGAGGAGAATAAGATCATTCTTAAAAGAAGATGGTTCTGTGATGAGCTTTTTCACAACTTCGAAGCCGAGACCTTTATTTGCTCCAGTTACAAGAATGACACGTTGTTGTTGTTGTCGTTGTTCTGACGTTAACATTGTTAATTCGATTTTCTTGTTCAGCGAAGTACACTGAAGTATGTAAGATAAAAATACAAAGATTAACAGAAACCATACGCACTATCCACTCATACTTACCACATAAATCAAAAGAAAATATGCATCGTCATCGTCACGATGCACTGCTCGCTCCTTTCGTTCTTCTCATTCTTTCAGTACGATAGTGTATCATACACTATAACAAGAACACGTGTCCTGCAGCATACTCAACTAATGATGACCCTCACACGTATAAGGTTGAAATTCAATGGCAAACGAGACTCAACACAACATTTAAAAGGCTATTATCGTTTGTCTTCACAACAGATGTTCCAAGTTTTCAGGAGTTGGCTGTTGCTCGACACTAGTGTTGACTCCCGTGCTCTCTTTATTTCATCAAGACCCAGACTGCCTCCCTCATTAGTCGAAACGCGCGCTCCTTCTCTAATACATGTCAAACATTGACGAAAAACTTCTGTTTGAAGATCGAATATCAATCGATTCGAGACGAGATCGGTCGATGCTTCATTGATCGTCACATTCACCTTCTGTTGAACTATAAGCACTTCATCGACAGCTATCTTCGCACTTCGGAAGAGAGACAAACTTCTTCTTGTAAGAGTTCCGTCATCATTGTTGTGACTCGTTGATAAGAATGTTAATTTTCAGATGAAAATGTAGTTAGAATTGAAAATAGTTCTTTTTTGTGGACGTCAAATGAACAATGCAACTTAGTATTAAAAAAGTATGCGTTTTGCGTTTATTATTTTTTTGATTCAAATTAGATTACTTTTTTATTACAGTATCAATATATAATTACGAAATTTCTTTTGGCGCTACTTGCAACTGCAGTTGCAAGTAGCGCCAAAAGAAATTTCGTATGCTTTTGTATATACAAAAGCATATGTGAGTCATTGCTAGACATCGGGTATATGACTTATTTTATTTTTTTCCCATCAAATTCAGAATCTCCATGTAAAATTAGCCCATAGTAGCAAGTTTCAACATTTTCTGACGTATCTTAGGCGAGATATGGCCAAAGATCGACCGCAATTATCATATGGCTACTGCTGAACTTCGTTCTCGAAAATTTCAACAACTATTAAGAGGACTGAAAAACGGTTAATGCCCAATTGTAGAGCACGTTTAGCACTACAAATCTGCTGATCTGAATTTGTCTGGGAATATAGCCATTTTCTTTTTCAGGCATCAAAAGTTTATCATTTTTCATGCACTGATACTAATACAAGCTCTACTACCAAGCAACCGTTTATATTCAAAAGTTGGTTTATAGAGCAATCGATAGCTTATAAAGAGAGGAATTGATTACATATATTGCTGTTATTTAAAAGTGGATAGTGTAAGGAAAAAACCTTTACTACTTTACCACCATTTTCGGCAAAAGAGCATATTTTGTTAATTATTCAAAAAATAGAATATAGGCTCTGAGAATTTTTCTGATTAAGCAGTTATAAAGAGCATGACTTGAAGTACACGAATATATGCTTAGATACCATCTATGTCGCTTATTGGTAGAAAACAATGATTTTCAAGTTGACCCTAATCGGAGGTATGTGCCACCTCCACCGCCCAAGAGTATAACTTTTTCGGAAAAGCAAATATATTTCAATAGTCACGAAGGATAGTTGACAAACGCTGAAAGTTTGATCGAGTTTGAAGAACATTTTACATATAGTGGGAGGTTTCCCATGGAATCATCCTCGAGATTTTCATCCAAAGCGGAAATTCAGCTAAAAATTTCGAAATACAGATCAGTCGACTAAGTTTTTGATCATGATATTTTTATTACATAGAAGTTGAGTTCTAATCGAGAAAATTGAAAACTAGGGGCAGAATTCCGACTTTTTCTCTGCTGATTTAGAAAAAATGAATTTTCTCAGCAACGAAACAACATTTGAAAAAAAGCGAGTTACACTTTTGAAGCCGACACTTCAGCAAATATAATGGAATGTAAATGATAGTTCCAACCCTTAAGAAAAGAATGAAAATGAAGACTTATATGATTCTTAGATAAATTAAATGTATTTGATTTAATAAAATCGTTTTCTCTTAGTTTATTTTACAAACAGTGCCACATAAGTGCATCTACTATTAATCAGCTAATTCTCCATTGCTTCATTCCAAGAGAGTACGTACTAATTTTTATAAATTATGTTGTGAAAAATGATTATAAAACAGGTGTAGCTTTTTTTATACTATGGGACTCGAAGAGTTAAATGTAGTCACAAAGCTGAGACATCTATTCTTAGTCTACAATAAATTGCTTCTATATTTCTATTTGCCGAGGATGGAATAGTAAAGCTAGATCTAGTAGATGATCTTTTAATTTTTTCCTAAACTTCATAGGCTACATCACAATACAAAGCCGTGGTTATGCACTTAAGCTGTGGTGTTTCAATTATTTTTCCCTTCGTAAAACCTGTTTCTCAGTTCCTTATTCTTTCATTCTTGGTATTTTTGATCTCACTTGATATCCGACTCGAACTCTTAGATTAAATTGAATCTCTTAGATTAAATTGCAGTCTGTTTTATTCGGCATTTGTCTTCGAGAACAGATCACAGGAGAAAAGTAAGGCAAATGTTTAATTATTGTTAACTCTAATGAAATAAATAAATAAGCCGTTATTCGAAATAAGGTATGACTACACTGGATAAGATTAGGTAAAACCAAAGTTTCTAAAAATCTTATCCACAGATATATTGACCACTCAACACATATTTTAAGAGAGAAAAGTGTTAGGTTCCATCTAACTTGTTTTAATCTTCACTTGTATGTACAAATGTTTTATTAAGAAAGCAAGGGCACTCCCCAGTACAGTATATGCCTGTGTATATATAGGCGAGAAAGGAAGGAAAAAAGAACGTAACAGAAAACATGATATAATATAAACAGTGATGTAATATATACAATGGTGTCACAGGATGGCATGATGAGAT